TTAGCATTTGTTTGGTTTTCATTATCTCTAAGAATAAAAGTATTTCTGTCATGGTTCTGGTTGCTAAATTTTGATTTCTTAAACCTGAAAAAATCTAAGTAGCTGAATCGTTCTTTTAGCATATCACTGCTCTAACAATAAGGTCTTAATGTCAATTCAACTTCTCTTGTCCTGAAGGTATTACCATAACTAGCATGTTTTCACAATTTTCTTAAATACTTTATTGTTACAATGATGGCAACGTCTTATGTGTTTTAACATCCCTAATTGAAGTAGTAGAAATATCCTATTTACATATATTAACTTTCTTATATCACATATTATAGTTTTCTTCCTTTTCACTTTTGACGATCTCAAGTTGAAAAACTTTATTCTGGCTCCAATCCCCCCCCCCCCACTTCAGCTGTGATGTAATTTTTGTTCTCAGTATACAATACTTTCCTCACTACTCCTCACATTTATTAGCCCCATTTAATAAAACATTTACTATGAGTCAATTTAACAACGTATGGACCAATGTTATGCCTTCACTCTTTACTATCATCATAACATGCAGCCAATACTAAAGTTTTGGTCACTGGTCCATTTACTTCAATTTTGTGCTTGTCTCAGCCTGAAAGTAAAAACGGTGTGATATTTTAAAGTTATACGTTGGTTTTATTTTACTGATTGCCAGAGCCTCCTTAATTCTTACATCTTACATACACAAGCAAAGTTTTTTCATCAATGGTTCCATTACATTCCTGATCTAGATGTTTGTAGATATTTAGAGAATTTCAAACACAAGGCTTCTAAATGATGCGTGTTCCACATCGAGAAGAAACGCGTCAATAAACAACGTTGGATCATTGAAATTTATTAATTCTGTCCTTTATTTTGAAAAAAAGCTCTCAGTTTTTAGTACGGATTTGAAGGCAATATACACCGAAATGCGTGGATACTTAGGTTTCAAGATATTTTTTATTTTGTTTCTGAACATACAACTGCCTTAGAGATTCTAAAATGTTAAGTATGTTATTTGGAAAAATACAATATATTTCTTATTCCTTTAGCCTAGAAAGGTGAACCAAGTTTAAAAAGTTGTGTGCCACATCTTATTCTTGAGTTAGTCACACATTGTCAAGGATTATTGCCGTTTTGGTGTTGCTGAACTTTCCCTTGCAAAGTACTACTACTCAAGTGTTTTCTGGTTACATTAGTCTTGTGTTGACTTAGTTTACTTTGGAATGACGAAGTTACAGATGCAATCTGGAAGAAAATACCCCATTGTACTAAATACAATACATAATGGTTAACAATACTTGGATACAGCTTGAATGGGCAATGAAGTAAAACTTTAATACAAGTTTAACATAACAGCAAATGTACAACGTTTCGACATCATCAGGTACAAGTAGTTTATATATACACAACGTGATCACAAGTAAATAGACACCACCTTTTCAGAAAAAAAGAAAAATTTCAGTCATATTCACATGAATTGTTATATTTATAATTTAATTAATATATAGTAGATCTTCCTTTCGCCTCGTGGAGTTCGCTGATCCTTTGGGGCATCGTGAGAATCATCTCGTCAATTTTAGATTGTGGGCTTTTCGCCCACTCTTGCTTCAAAACTTGGAGTAGATCGCTCTTCGAAGTTGGTTTTTTGGTTGTTTCTTGACTTGCCGGTCGAGTATTGCCCAGAGGTTTTCGATGGGG